AGGCTGCCGAAACCCAGTTGTTGCTGACAATTAGGTTTCTAGTATCCATGAGAATGAGGATTTCTATTACTAACTTGATTCTGGGTATGGTCAAAGCAAAATTGGCCGGGCCTGTTGGCTGATGGATTAAAGGGAAAGACCCACACGCTGGAAAAAAGACAAGACAGAAAAAGAGGCCCCTTGTATTGACGGCCATAAGGTTTTCTCCCAGTTGAAACAGAGACAGAGATCTCCGTTTCTTGTCATCCCGCCAAATCCATAAGAGGCTTTCCCCCCTTGGAAGGTCAACGTTTCACCGATAAGGCTCCCACCATGATGATCCTTTGTTTTTGAACATTTATGGAGGAACATCACATTCCCCAGCAATAATGCCCAATCATCTTTCTCCCACTTGTAGCAAAAATCACAAATTGCAGCAGAGACCTACCAGAACATTTGGGGTTTCTTTTCTCCCACCTGAGATTAAAAGCGTCAGGGCCGCGTGGATATGATTTGCACAAATCCAATGGAGCAAAATGTTTTCCAGCTTGATGGACCTGATTGGGATAATTATAACATCATGGGGGCTTTTGGCCTTGCTAAAAATAGGAGCGAAGGAGGGGTCGGCGGACTGACAACCTGGAATGGTATTTTGCACCAGATAAAACAAGCTTTAAAAAATATGTGTGGGTGGGCAACCAGCTCTAACTTCAGTCCTGTCTCTGAATCAACAATTCAAGGTTGCTCTTTGAGGCAAGATGGCACTTAAATACCTAAGTTTATTTTATTTATTTAAAGAAATGATGTGCCTGTGCATCTCACAACAGTGTTGGCTCAGGACTCACTTAACATCCCCCTTCTGCAGATGATACCTTTCCCAACATACAAACTTATAGGCACATTCTGATAATGCAGAAATACTGGTTGTGGGTTAGCTGTTTATCCCAGAATTCAACTGGTGAAGAAACCTTGGCTTTCATCTAGTGAAGCGTGTTTCTAGACCTCATGATTATACATTGGAAAACTTGCTGACAATGTCTGTTCAGAGGGGTGAGTTGGTCAGCTCAAAGACCAGATGCTGGTGGTCAAGAGCTGATGATTAGGGATAGCCTTAAGGACTGGTCTGTGGAAGGTCTAGAAGGTCTGGTTGGTTTGGACTGCTCTTATGGAACACATTTGGGGTGAAATATACACATTTATGAGGAAATTAGACCTGCTGTGCTGGACGGACCACATGTCCATGTGGGCAAACATCAGCAACTTGGAGGTCCAAACTGAACATCTCTTAAGACATTATTAGGACAACAGGGCACTCCAACCTGATGTCTGCTGAGTGGTAGAAGCCAACTGTCTTCTGGTTGATGATGTTAATCAAGCAGATCTGGCTTTCCAGTTATTTTGCCTAGATTGCCTCCAACGTTCCTATCTTTTGGATGTCAGGAGGAAGTGCTGTAACACAACCAATGGTTCGTCTTGCCTTGTGTCTCCAGGATTTTCCCCTTCTCTGGAATTCTGACTTGGTTCCCTTTGATATTTTGGAAGGGGGCAGAAGCCCCAACCTTCAGGTCAAAGAAATGGCTTGGTGTGGATTTCACAGGCTCACTGGGCCCTCGGTGCTGCTTGCGAGGCCTTTAAGAGAATCTTCCCCCCTTAACAACAGGCCGAGATGGTTGTCTGAGGAGGCAAGACCAACCAATCTGCCACTTGGCTGCTGAGTTTTCCTTGGTATTCCAGGGGTCTCCCATCTTCCCCATCAAAACTTAAGCAGAGGGTTAGTTAGCTGGGCAAAGGGTACCCAATAGTCTGCCGGAGATCACCTTGCTAGTTCCCAGCGTGCTCTGATAGTCTGGATGCTTTGGTGGATAAATCGCCTTCAGGAAGCTGCTTCCAATCCAAAATCAACAGGAGTGATTAAATGATTTAAATCAGTGTTTTTCAAACTTGGCAACTTTAAGATGTGTGGACTTCAACTCCCAGAAGTCGTCATAACTTCAAACAGTTGTTAAATGAATGGTCGTAAGTCGAGGACTACCTGTACTGTTCCTTTCTTTGCAGTCCTACAGGGCTTGATGTGACCTTGCACTTCCCATGAAGCATTTTTTAGAGCAGTCTCTCACAGGACCCTTCAGCCAAACTAAGGCAAGACAGTGTGATGGATGTTCCTTCAAATCCTCTCTTCTTTCCTTCCATGCTGGCTGGGGGATTCTGGGAGTTGAAGTCCACACATCCTAAAGTTGCCAAGTTTGAAAAACACTGCTTTAAAGGCTGTCTCAACACTCCCAAGTGAATGACAAGGACAACAAACAAAAGATCATTACTGTCCAAGCTCTCCTGTTTGTAATCAGTAGACGCAACCCATCAGAAGGAGTTAATCAATTCTTTAGGATTAGTGTTTTTCCACACTTCTTAACCTTAGGGAATCTTTACAAATAATCTTTTTGTTTGTTCCTTTGCCTTTTGCTCCACAAGAGATCTAGCATCATGTTCTAGGACTGTCTTTACCCTAGCAATGGGTAAGCTCCAAATAAACACCCCCAAATAAATACAAATTCTTCTAATCCTCCCCAGAGACATCTTGAGAAAAGCTCAGATTTCCCCCCCACCCCACCCCCCCAAGCATTCAGTAGAAGACTGGAGAGGCAAATCCTAACCTTGGGAATGTTTGCCTCTTCCAAACAGGTTCACCCTCACCAAGCAAAAGAGCCAAGGATGCCAATCTTATTTATTTAGTTGTTACATCCACAGCCTACCACATTTCAATGAGTCTTGGGGATCTTGCACAATGAAAACACCCTTGCATCAACTAAAACATCCATGGTACAATTAAAAAGGGGGGGGGGGAAGTCATGGCAAGCTTCTGATGACATCTCACATCAAGGACTGTCTTTCTGGATTACGCATAACAGTTTCCTCCCTGCCAGCGTGGCCATTACTGGCTGTGGATGACAGAAGCTCTAGGCCAACCAGCCTAGGGAAGAACTGCAGGTATGTTCAAGCACTCAAGGCCACAGGCAGCTCAGAGGACCAAATCAAGGTCATTGGGCTTTATTTAAGCAACGCAGAACAATGGTTATTAAAAAAAAATACGAATGGGAAGGTTTCGTTTGTACGTGTAGAAAAACAGCATGACTATGAACAAGAAATGAATCACAGTTGCTCTGAGATTTATGGGCCAAAGGGCCCTCCCATAATTGCTTTTTGGGGGCGGGAGACAAATCTTATGAACACATATTAAACAACACTAATGACTAAGGGATTTAGAAGTCGAGAATAATACACAAAAGAGTGGGATCGCTCTACGTAACCAATACAAATGAACTTCAACTTCCAGAAAGCAAGCATTTCTTAGAAACTTCAGCTAATATACAGGGCCAAGGAAAGTGTTTTGTTCTGAGGTAGCTATGGGTTCTCAGTAATTTATAAATGAACTAGCTACATAAAAATCATTTGGACTAAGTATGATCTTTGCTCAACAGATGTGTTGAGTTGTCTTTGCTCCCTGGCCAGCATTCTCACTGTATTATCAGCAGGAGATAATCAAAAGACATTCTCTTATATGTAGCATTTATCTAGTTGCGTTCAGGAGGGATACATCTTTTTTATTGGTTATTTTGGACCAATAAAGTCCAATTCATTTTTTAAAACGCAGTTACCCACCACAGGGAACGGAGCGTGTGCGCGTGTGTAACCATCGCTGAAACTGCAGCTGACAGGAAAAGGAAATTAACTTTTTTTCATCCCTGTTCTTTGCACTGAGAAAAGAGACTCCTTTTTAAAAGCCCTTTAGAGTCGGAATTTTTCTCTTTTTTTTCTGCATGGAAACAGATGCAGATTTAAAACGGGCTGACGGGACTTCTACGGTCCAAATTTGAGGTTTGCTCTTCTAGAGTTGTATGCAATGAACGTGCCATAAATCAATTGTAACAGAGAGCCAAATAATTTTGTTGGGATTGATGCTTAATTCGCTTTCTCTAGATATGGACTCATATAATGGTTTCTTGCTCTGGATTCCCATAACTGAGTGTCTGAGTATCTACGTATGGGTTACTATATGTAGGTGAGATCTCCCCAAATAATGCAGATGATCATCGTTTGTTGCTTTAACCTCAACCAAACATACTCATTCAGATTGATTATGTATTTCTCAGTTTGGGGTTCTATAGCGTGTTAGACTTTAGTTCCCATAGTCCTTTAGTCATTGCTGGTGGGGCATTATGGGAACAGAAGTCCAAAACTTCTGAAGGCTACCAGGTTGTAGAAACCTAATACAGTGGTACCTCGGGTTACGAACGCTTCTGTTAACGAACTTTTCGGGTTACAATCAGCTCCGGCCACAAAAAATTGCCTCGATGTGCGAACTCTGCCTCAGGGTATGGACAGGATACGTGGCCATTTTCCCTCCCGTGACACGTGGTCCGCGGCCATTTTCCCTCCCGTGACATGTGGTCCGCGGCCATTTTCCGCCCATGACATGTGGTCCGCGGCCATTTTTCCGCCCGTGACACGTGGTCCGTGGCCATTTTTCCGCCCGTGACACGTGGTCCGCGGCCATTTTCCCACCCGTGACACGTGGTCCACGGCCATTTTCCCACCCGTGACACGTGGTCCGCGGCCATTTTCCGCCCCTGACACATGGTCATAGGGAGC